ATTGGTCTAGATTCTAGACCATGACTTTGTAAACGATTGCCTGGCGACTGTCATACCGCGGGTTGGACCCCCGCGACCTGGGTCTAGCGCGGTCGGTCCCATATAACTATTCACGCCGGTGTCCAACGGAAATTCTTTTATTCATCAACATTACGGGTTCCATGATAAGCTTCTCAGGCATAAACTCAATAAGCGCTTCTCACTATATTATAGCCACATCGCAGGAAATTGTGCTGTGATTTGATAATTAAGTTATCCTAAGCATCAGAACAAAGGCACACACATACGGCGATCGATCTCCTCGCGACCTCCACGTCATTCCCGCTGTCCACGGAGACCTCGAATGAGCTGGATCGAGAACGACCCATGACCGTGAATCGAGGATTGATCCAATGGGGAGATCAGATAGAGTACTGGCACTTCCCTCTGGATAGACAGCGGTCGACATCCGATCACGTAGGCGTATTTATAGGCGTATTTCATTGCTCAATGAAAGCTAGGCTAGGAATGTGGATCCAAGTGCTTCGCGAAACACAAAAGTCCTGGGCCGGACAAGACTTCAGTCGTTTCTCGACATCAAATAAATTAGCTCCAGAGCTCGACGGGAGGGAGCGATTTCATGGCACAATGTTCCGATGGCTGTCCACATTGGGGTTCCCCGACATCTCGTCTGCCTCAAGACCCGACTCGATTTCTGATCTAGATGCGCGCAAAGAAAGTGATCGTGAATGAAATTTCCCTCCGATCAAAGGGCCGCGTTTGAATCCAGACGCCAATGCGAGAATCGGGCCAAATCCATCGGCCGAACTGATCCCGCCACAGAATAGCTCTTCCCGAAATCATCCTAGGTTTATGGAGGCACTCGGCTGCTCATATTCGTTTCAACATGTGTAGATTAAGAACTTCAGGAACAGTCACTGTCTCGAGTTGTACGTCACTTGGAATGTATCGGAAGCGCACAGGGAAGCGAGCCTTCGTATCGATCAAGTAATCCTTCGAATTGTCTTTAGGATACGTTTTCCGGATATACTCTTGCAGTTTGCTTATGAATTTCGGAGAGAACGACTCTTCATATCCCTCAAGAGGAGTGTACATCTGACAAATTTTGAGGAGTTGACCACTCGTCAGGTTC